AGGAGGAAAGCTGGAAAATCTACAAATATGTGGAAACTGAAAAATACACTTCTGAACAACCAATGGGTTAAAGAAGAAATCAAAAGGGAATTAGAAAATTATCTCAAAACAAATGAAAATGGAAATACGACAAATCAAATCTTATGGAATGCAGCAAAGCAATTCTGAGAGGAATGTTTACAGTGATAAACGCATATACTAAGAAATTAGAAAGTTCTCAAACAGTCAACTTAACTTTACACCTTGAAGAATTAAAAAAAAAGAACAAATTAAGCCCAGAGTTAGCAGAAAGAAGGACATAATAAAGATCTCTGCAGAAGTAAATGAAATAGACACCAGATAAACAATAGAAAGGATAAATGAAACTAAAGGCTGGCTCTACAAAAAGATAAACAAAATTGGCAAACCTTTAGCCAGGCTAACTATGATAAAAAGAAAACTCAAATAGATAAAATTAAAAAGAAGATATTACAACTGATAATACAGAAGTACATAGGACTATAAGAGACTATTATGAAAAATTATATGCCAACAAATTAGATAACCTAGAAAAAATAGATAAATTTCTAGGAACACAAAACCTACCAAGACTGAATCAGGAAGAAATAGAAAATCTGCACAGACCAATAATGAGCAAAGTTTGGATCAGTAATCGAAAACCTCCCAACATAGAAAACCCTAGGGCCAGATGGATTCACTTGTGAATTCTACCAAAATTTAAAGAATAATTAATACCAATTTTCCTCAAATTCTTCCAAAAAATTACAGAGGTGTGAATACTTCCAAATTCATTCTATGAGGCCAGCATTAGATTACTTTGGTAACAAAGCCAGACAGGGACAACACAAGAAAAGAAAACCAATATCTCTGATAAATATAGGTCTAAAAATTCTCAACAAAAAATTAGCAAAACAAATTCAAGAACACATAAAATGGATTATACACCACAATCAAGTGGGATTTACCCCTGGGAGATGCAAGGATGGTTCAACATACACAAATCAATAAATGTAATACATCACATTAATAAAATTAAAGATAAAAACTTACATGATCATGTCAATACATGCAGAAAAAACATTTGACAAAATGACATCCTTCCATGATAAAAAGTCTTGGTAGATTGGGTATAGAGGAATATATCTTAACATAATAAAGGTCAGCCATAACAAATCCACAGCTAACATTATACAAAATGGAGAAAAACTTGGAAGCTTTTCCTCTAAGATCAGGAACAATACAAGGATGCCCACTCTTACAACTCTTATTCAGTATAATACTGGAAGTCCTAGCTAGAGTGAATATGCAAGATAGGGAAATAAAAGGCATCCAAATCAGGATGGAAGAAGTAAAACTGTTGCTACTTGCAGATGATATGATTCTGTATATAGAAAATCTGAAATGCTGAACCCAAACACTGTTGGAACTAATCAATTATTTCAGTAAAGTTGCAAGATACAAAATCAATATAGATAAATCAGTTGCATTTTTATACACAAAGGATGAAACATTTGAATAAGAATAAAGAAAACTTTTCCATTCACAATAGCATGAAAAAGAATAAAATACTTAGGAATAACTTTAACCAAGGAACTGAAAGATCTGCACAACAAAACTCACAAGACTTTGCTGAAACAAATAGAACAAGACGCAAACTAATGGAAAGATACCCTATGTTCATGGGTCAAAAGAATTAATATTGTTAAAATGTCTATATTTTTCAAACCCATATACAGATTTAATGCAATCCACATAAAAATACCAATGGCACTCTTCACAGAAATAGAAAAAGAATCTTAAAATGTATATGTAACCACAGAAGACTTTGAAGAGCCAAAGCAATACGGATGAAAAAGAACAAAACTGGAGGTATTACAATTCCTGATTTCAAACTACACTACAAAACTACAATAATAAAAAACAGTACAGTACTAGTACAAAAATAAACACATAGACCAATGGAATAGAATAGAGAGCCCAGAATTAATCCCCTGCTTATACAGTCAATGAATAGTTGATAAGGGAGGCAAGAGCACCCAATGGGAAAAGGATAGTCTCTTCAACAATTGGTGCTGGGAAAACTGGAAGAACACATGCAGAGCAATGAAGCTGGATCCCTACATTATATCACTCACAAAAAGTATCTTGAAGTGGATCAAAGATTTAAATATAAGACCTGATACTACAAGACTCTTAGAAGGAAGTGTAGGGGAGAGGCTCTTAACATTAGTCATGGCAATGACTTTTTCAATACAATACCAACAAAAGCACAAACAACAAAAGGAAAAATCATCAAACTTAAAAACTTAATAGCTTTTGTGCAGCAAAAGAAACAATTAGCAAAATTAAAAGGAAACCTACAGAATGGGGGGAAATTTTTGCAAACCATATATTGGATAAGGGGTTTAATATATAAAGAATTCATACAACTCAATAACAAAAAATCTGATTGAAAAATGGGCACAACTAAACAATTTTCAAAGGAAGACATACAAATGGTCAACAGGTACATTAAAAGATGGTCAACATCACTAATCATCAGGGAAATGCAGATTAAAACCACAATGGGATATCACCTCACATGTGTTAGAATGGCTGTCATCAAGAAGACAAGAGATGACTAGTGGTGATGAGGATGTGGAGAAAAGGGAACACTTGTACAAAGGTGGTAGGAATGTAAATTGGTGTGGCCACTATGGAAAACATATGGAGGTTCCTAAAAACTCTTAAAATAGATCCAGGAATTCCACCTCTGAGTATTTATCCAAAGAAAATATAAACACTAACTCAAAAAGGTGTATGCATTCCCATGTTCATGATGGCATTAGTTACAATAGCAAAGATATAGAAACAACCTAAGTGTCCATCAACAGATGAATGGGTAAAGAAAATGTGGTACATATACAATGAAATATTGAAAGATGGACATCCTACCATTTGTGACAACATGGATGGACTTTTAGCGCATTATGCTAAGTGAGATTTGTGACAACATGGATGGAATTTTAGCACGTTATGCTAAATGAGATGTCAGACAGAGGAAGACAAGAACTGTATGATACCACTTACACGTGGAATGTAAGAAAGCCAAGTTTTAAAAACAGAATAAAATGGTGGTTAACAGGGGATGGGAGGACAGGATGGATGTTGTCTAAGAGTAAAAACTTACAAGTAGAAAATATGCCCAGAGATGCACAGATCAATGAATACAGACAACATTGTACTATAATCATAAAACTTGCTGAGAGACTAGAAACTAATTATTCCAACTACTAAAAATAAAGAATAATTATGTAATGTGATGGAGGTGATAATTATTCCTATGATGGCAATCATATTACAATATATGAATGTACATCTTAAATTTACACAAAGCTATATGTCTAATATATTTCAAAAAAAGGTTGAAAAGAAAATATAAAAGATAAGACATAGGGAAATAATCACAGATTTGGGGTAGTAAAATGCTAAATAACTACTATGTTCTATCACAACATAATAATTTTAAACATACTGGTATAATTGACTATTCATACATTCACATGTACACACATGACCAATATTGACTCAGTTAAATGTTTATTGACCTATAAATATAGTAGAAGTGGAAACATTTTTCATTAAAGATAACCTCCTACAAAAGGTGCCAGACCTTGAAAATTGTATATAGTAAATGATAATACCTTGCTAATTTGAATTTTTTTCAGATAATTTAATATTTTTTGGCAAGTAAAGAAGGCACCTTTTATAGTTTCTCATTTATGTCTTTGGATATCTAAAAGCCAATGTTATTTTATGGAGGGAAAATAACCCAATAGGAAAAGGACAGTAATTTTTGGAGGAATACCTGTGAATACAATGCACATATTCATTGCAGGAAATTTATAAAATGTGGACAAACAAAAAATGATAAGGTCCAAAAATAAATATTCTTAATAATTTAATGTATAGTGTTTCAGATATGTGTGTGCACGTGCATGTGTGTCAATGGTTATATTTTCTATGGTATATTTGGTGGCTGAATAATATTCTGGGATGTAGATATATAAATATACTATATATTGCTACTTGGATGTGGCATCTCTCTCTAATTTTTCATGGTATACTTTTCACCTTTCTTAAAAACTTATCATAACCATTTTTAATAAGCCTTATGTCTTCCATCAGCTATTTACAAACCATGATTTCTAACAGTTTCCACTACCATAAATATTGTTGCATTGAGTGTCTTTGGATGAAAATCACGGGAAAAGTCCATGATGATTATTTTCTTGGGATAAATTCTGGGAAATGGAATTGCTAGGTCAAAGGGTATTTGCACTTAAGGCTTTAGTATATATTGCTCATTAGCCTTCCAGAAGTTTGTGCCCACTTTTACTGCCATCAATTCTGCATGTGATACTGATTTCTTCACAGCCTTAATACTTTACCAATTTGCAATCATTCTTCTATGTTCCTCAAAATTTTGGAGATTCACTTTACAATATTCCATTGAAAAGATGAATGGACAACTAATCAAGAACAAATACAACTAGGGCATGAGCTTGGAAGAATTTGAGGGAAGAATAAAGAGCAGAATACCCTGAGGCTTGGGAAAATTGCTAAGGATTGTAAGATCTTTTATGCTTTAGAGTAAGAATGATAAGGAAGGGAGTAATCTACTTCCTGGGCTTATAATGTGATATTAAGAGGTTGTAGAGACAAAATTAATTTTCTTTAGTATCTTTTAAGTTTAGTCACTAAGGAGAATGATCATTATACTGAGAGTTTATTATCAAAGTAGGAAAGTGGGGCAATTTTACCTGAGTTTAAGTCCACAGTTTCAGATAAATTACCTCCTAAAGTGAAGAAAAACCAGGAGGACCGTGCAGCACATGACTCCAAGTTTCAAACAACTGAGAGACAACTCTGTGCAAGAAGGATTCAATTCCTTCTTCATAATTCCAGGGACAAATAAGGATCAAATGGAGGGAATTATGGGAAAAAATAATTCAACTCACTCTCACAAATAGGTGCCTTCTTATTCCAAGTGACATCAATGCCTGAGAGGAGACAAGTAGCAGAAGGGGAACCAATGAGTCGATACCTAGAAGCAAAGAATGAAAAATGGTTAGACTCTACACAGATTTCCCACTTAAATCACCATGAGAAAACAATAGCAGGAGGATGTTACAAATTACAGGACAGATTAAAACATGAGAGACCTCAAGAAAGAAACCCCATCTCCACCTACAAATTAGTCTTTATTCTTCAGGGCAAGCTAAAATTCTTACCTCTTTAATCCATCTCCATTCCTAGTCCCCTCACAACTCATTGCAATATTCCCGTTATTAATCATGGGACACTTCTGTACTTGTCTTAAAGGTACCTCAGAATTATTTTATCCATTTGTACTTTCAGCTAAGAAATTATAAGTGCTTGATTAGGAGGGAAGATGTCTTACTGAAATATATACACTCTTTAGTACCTAGCCTAGAGACTTTCAAGCATGTGGTGCTCAAAAATATCTACTGAGTGAAGGAAAGAATGATGGCTTTACCCTGAAGACTTAGTAAATAAGAGTCAGAGGAAACAGCTAACCATTTTACCTTTCAAATGTAGAAAGCAGGGGTACTCACCCACTGTGTCATAAAATCATTCAAAGTAGGTCACAAAATTTGAAACTTCATCATTTATTTTTTATTTATTACATCTCTATGTTGTTACCGTGAGAAATGTCACAAAAGATACTCAGCCAAGCTATTCATATGTTCCAATGTACAGCAGGGTTAACTTGATAAAGTAAAAGGTGATGGGTGTAATACAAAGTCACATAACAGTGAGGTAGTTAGTGCAACCGTTAAGAAATCTGTCTTTTGATTACCTAGGACATGCGATCAGGGCAGTACCCATTTGTAGCAGAGACTACTGGAATCTCCAGTATCCACTTTTCTTTTCTTCATTAGTATCATGACCCTGTATTTTTAACTGGGCCATAGGCCACTTTCAATAACAGCTTCATTTCTCAGCTTCCCTTACAGCCATGTGACTATGTTCTGGCTAGAGGGATGTAAATGGAGTGTCTGGAAAGTGTCTTCACAGGGATAAGTGTTCCCTTCCTCCGTTCTTCCTCTTTGCTAAATGGAGTTTGGACCATGAGTTGAGATGGACTCTCTAATGGAAGGATCCCAGGTTTCTGTGGATCTTGGAGCCACTGTATGAGCCCTGGGCCGCCATCGTTCTTAACATGAGAGATAAGTGAACTGCTATCTTGTTCAAGCTCCTGTTATTTTGTGTTTTTTCTGTCTTTTATAACTTAATCTAATCTTAACTGGTATACCAGCTCTTCCCAAAACAGTAACAAAAAGATGGTGGGAACCACGTTGGTAGAGCAATGACAGTGAATATTTTGGTAGACACGGTAAGTCACTTTTATATTTAGGTAGTGATTAAATTTTACTTATTGTTACCTTGTTTTTTATGAGCTGTGTTCTAAAATCTTTTAAGTGTGCCAACAAATATTTAATCTTCAAAATGTCTGCAAACAAACATTTTGAGAACCACTTTAGTGAGGAAAGAGGATAATCATCCCTGTACTACATGTGTGTTTCCTTCCGCCTGTCTCCTATCATACATTTAAATGTTGCCTCAGAAGCACAGGGTCATGGGTATCCTCTGACTTTTGACCTTATAAAGGCTGCTCTTAATGTACTCACTATGACTAAACTAGAGCTTTGGAGTAAAAATGTGAAGCAGGTTCCAGCCGCTGTATAACTGTAAAAAGCAGTGAACATTTTTGAACATATTGTAAGACACTAGTATGCTGCAGTAGTGATTATGTTGTAATTTTTTTCCTGGATGGATTTTCCATCTCTGTGAATTATTTTTACTGGAGCCCACTCAGTTCCCCTGAGCATTAGAAATCTGTATAGAACCACTCTAAATTGTTGTTCAAGAGCCATGAGATTCCTTTCCCTATAAGCATCATACATACTGTGGAGAAGCATGCTGAGGCATTGGAGAGCCCATTAAGTAAGGTCAGGGATGGGAGAATCAAGGGCTAAGATGGTGTCATTTTTATCTTTTCCTATTTGTTCATGTACTTTGAACTATTTAGCAGTGGAGGGAATCTATGGAGACACTCAGTAGGCTGCAAATTACTAAAAGTAGCTCACAGATATGATTTTCAGCAGCCCTCTTTTTTAAAAAAAAAGAAATTTAAAATTGAATTTTATTGGCTTATAAAAGTTAACATACATTCATTGTAGACATATTTGGAAGTTGTGAATAACCCAAAGATCAAAAATATCACCACCCAAGATAGCACCACTCGTAGTAGCTAATATTTTGCTATGAATCCTTCTAGCCTTTTTATCTAAAAATATACGTGTAACCTAGATGTCAACTGGGCTTAGCTGCCTTTAGAAGGAAGAGCTGGTTAAATTGGACACAAGCACCAGTTCTACATTTGTAAAGTACAGATTCCCATCTGCCCTCCAAACCCCTCCAAACATTCTCCGATTTCTCAGCCCCATCAGTCCTTCAGATGACTGCAGCCCCAGTCAACATCAAAGACACTATCAACAGAGTGAAAAGATAACCCACAGGATAAAAGAAAATATTTGGAAATCATTTATCTGAGAAGTGTTTAATATACAGAATATATAAAGAACTCCTATAACACAACAACAAAAAGACAAACAACCCAATTGAAAAATGGGCAAAGAACTTGAATGGACATTTTTCTAAAGAAGATATACAAATGTACAAAAGATATACACATGAAAAGATACTAACCATTATTAGTCATTAGGGAGATCCAAGTCAAACCCACTTCAGACCTTCCAGGATGGATGGCTATAATAATAACTTTTTTGAGTTTTTTTTAATAATAACTTTTTAAAAATGGAAAATAAAAGTGTTGGTGAAGATGTGGAGAAAATGGAATGCTTGTAATTGTTGGTGGGAATGTAAAATGGTGCAGGCACTGTAGAAAACAGTTTGGCTATTCCTCAAAAAGTTAAATATATAATTAACATATGGTCTAGCAATTCCAATCCTAGCTATATATCCAAAAAGACTGACAACAGAGACTCAAGTAGATACAGGTTTATCAGCTGATTTATGTATTTTTAAGTACATCCTGGTAATTGTATTTTGCCTACAAAATGGCACATTTCATGGATGTTTTCAATTTCATTAGGCTAGAGAGGATATACTATTTTTATTTAGTATTGATTGAATCCCTTCAATATCTATGATATCTCCTTTCTCATTCACGTGTATTTGCAGGTTTGTTATTTTGTGAAATTACAATTGGCCAAATTCCATTTGTTTAATTGGCCACTTTAAGAAACTACTCTGAGATTTTTACTTATCGTTTCCCTTTTTCCTTTTTTATTAATTTCCTTTATTAATTTCTTAGTCCAGCTTCTTTTATATGTTCATGTTCTAGTCATTTAAAAATTCATAGGTAAAATGTTTTGTTCATTTATTTGAAAACTTTTTGTCAGATAACAAAAGTATTGACTATTTCTCTAAGGACAGTTTTGGCATCAGCATCCCAGAAATTTTCATGAGTAACATTTGCACCAGCATTCATAACGAACAGGCTGAATAATGTAAGGTTTACCAATACGGGCTGTGGAGGCAGACTGGCAATATTCAAATTCTAACCTCAACCTCTGTCCTGTGAGTTTTGGTAAATTGGTTCATCTCTCTGTCTTAGTTTCTCTCTTCTGTAAAATGGGCCTATGTGTAGTATTCACTTCAAAGAGTCATTTTCAAGAGTAAGTTAATTCATGTAAAGCACTAGAAGAGTTCTCAGGGCTCATGCACTCAATAATCATTCCTTATTGTTATTTGATATGTAATCTGCAATGTCTGTTTTAATTTTCTCTTTGACTAAGATCCAAAACTTGAATTTTTATTTATTCTTTTGTCATTAATTCCTAGTGTTATTTTTATTATAATAAGAGTATATAGCTGTTTTAGTTTCTCCTGTGTTCAAATCTATTGAGGTACATCCTGTGGAGTGATATGCTATCAACTCTTACAAATGGTCCCTAGAAAGAGTTTACATTCTCTGTAAGGTACAAAATTCAACACACATGTACCAAAGCCACCTCATCCATCAAAGTCTTATTTTTTGTACCTTTGCTTACCCAATCTGAAGTTTTCAACTATTATTATTATTTTATCAATTTATCTTTTTACTTCTTTTTAGAACCTCCTTGACTTGGAATAATAAAAGAAATTGAGGAAAAATAATGCTCTTTCATCTAACCATAGGTTGGCAAACTGAGTTCTGCAGGCCCCATGTATGCTGTGTCACACATTCATTCATTCACTGTCTAGGGCTACTATCCCACTGCAGCTGCAGAGGTGAGTAGTTATAACAGAGATTATATGGCCCAGAAAGCTGACAGTATTTACTATCTGGGTCTTGACAGAGAAAGTTTGCCACCCCTTTGTCAAAGCAATCTGCGTTTTATTTGTCCAGGTTAACATCTGCTCCTTGGCTATTTGTTTATTTAAGTTTAATTTATTTCTTTTCAGTAACTTAACAACAGAAAATTACAACATATGTTTTTGCTTAGAATACCATGTATTTCAGATAACCCTACTTTCTCTAAGCACATTCAAACATATATATGCATATAGAGTATCTCCTCAAAATTTGTCATTATTTTTCCAAGTTGAAAACAAACTCTACAAATTGTTTTCTCAGTCAATATCACATCATGATCATCCATCTAGATCACTGAATACAGGATCTAATTAAGTCTTTTTGATTGCTGCAAAATAGTGCATGTGTAGATACCTAACAATTTCTATAGTGGCGGCATCATTTTACATTCTCACCAGCAATGTACAAGGATTCTAATTTCTACACGTTCTCACAAACACTTTTTATTTTCTGTTTATTAATAATTATTATTAAAGTCATATTAAGAGGTATGAATGGGCTTGATTTGCATTTATCTAATGGTTAATAATGTTTAGCATTTTTTATGTGTTTATTGGCCATTTGTATACCTCCTTTGGAGAAATGTCTTACTCAAGTCCTTGGCCCATTTTAAATTGGGTAGCCTTTTTCTTGCAGAGTTGTAGAGTTCTTTATATATTCTGTATATTTAATTTTGTCAGATATATGATTTGCAAATATTTTTTCTCATTCTATGAGTTGTCTTTTCACTCTCTTGATAGTGTATGCTATGGTCTGAATGTTTATGTCTCCCCAAAATTCATATGTTGAAATCCTAACCTCCAAAAGTGATGGCATTAATAAGTAGGGCCTTTAGGAGCTATGTCATAAAGGTGAAGTCATCATGAGTGCGAGTAATGCTCTTATAAAAGAGACCCCACAAAGCTTCCTAACCCCTCCACCATGTGAGGACACACTAGAAGCATACACCTAGAAGAGGACCTTTGTTGACCCTGCCAACACCCTGACCTCAGACCTCCAGTTCCTAGAATGGTGAGAAATAAAGTTCTGTTGTTTATAAACTACCTAGCCTGTGATATTTTGTTATAGTAAGCTGAATGAACTTGATAGTGTCTTGATGCAAAAATGTTCTTAATTTTAATGAAACCCAATTTGTCTATGTCTGCTTTTGTTGCCTGTACTTTTGGTGTCATATTTAAGAAACCAGATCCACGGTCATGAAGATTTGTCCCTATATTTTCCTCTTAGAATTTTATAATTTTAATTAATTAATTTATTTATTTTTATTTTTTTTGCAGTACGCGGGCCTCTCACTGCTGTGGCCTCTCCCGTTGTGGAGCTCAGGCTCAGCGGCCATGGCTCACAGGCCCAGCTGCTCTGCGGCATGTGGGAACATCCCGGACCGGGGCACGAACCCATGTCCCCTGCATCGGCAGGCGGACCCTCAACCACTGCGCCACAAGGGAAGCCCTAATTTTAACTTTTAACTTCAAGCCTTTGATCCATTTTGATTTAGTTTTGTATATGGTGTAAGGTGGCTTCATTGTTTTGCATGTGAATATCCTATTTTCCCAGGAACATTGTTGAAGAGACAGTTCTTTCCGCAGTGAGTGGTCCTTGCACCCTTGCTGAAAATCAATTGACCATAAATATGTAGCTTTATTTCTGGGCTATCACTTACTCCGCTGGCCTGTGTGTCTAACTTTATGTCAGTAACATACTATTTTAATGACTACAGCTTTGTAGTAAGTGTTGAAATAAAAAGTGTGAGTCAACCAACTTTGTTCTTTTCAAGACTGGGTGTTCTGGGTCCCTTGAAATTCCATACAAAATTTAGGATGGTTTTCCATTTCTGCAAAAAATACTGTTGGGATTTTTGTAGGTATTGCCTTGAATCTGTATATCATCACTTTGGGCAGTATTTTCATCTTACCAATACTAAGTCTTCCAATCCAAGAATATGAATGTATTTCTATTTATTAAGTCTTCTTTAATTTCTTTCAGCAATGTTTTATAGTATTCAGTGTATAAGTCTTATGTCTCCTTGGTTAAATTTATGTCTAAGGATTTTATTGTTTGATACAATTATAAATGGAATTTTTCTATTATTTTATTTTAGAAATGTTTCTTTTAATTATCATGTAGTTTGAAGTTTTATTGACTATATTTAGAAGGCATTCCTCTTCAAAAGGGGAATTTAAGCCATCACAGGTACTGTAATAACTTACACATTTTATCTTGCTTATAGTGTTCTTTCCTTTTATTTAATTAACAATTCCCAGGGTTGGAACTCAGTACTGTATAAAACGAGCTCCATTCTTGCTCTGCTGGTGCTATTTCCAGCAAGAGAGATAGAAAGCTTCCTAGTTCTTCCTTTTCTTACCCTTCTTTTGTCATATGGACCAAGTGGTTGTGCTTTTTTGATTGCCATTGTGATTTTGAATTTATATATTTTGATTTTATACTAGCATGGAATAATATCTTCCTTATCATGTCAAGAATATGTATAATACATACATCTGTATGTATTATAAGTTAAGCATATATATATATATATATATATTTATTTATTTTACTGCATCACCAACTTCCTAGTTGTTGTGATAAAAATCTATTATTTTATATCTAGTTTACTATACTTCCCTTCATACATGAGTTCTCTTTTGAGAATTAGTTCTGCCATTATATTTAGTTTCACAACCATATTAAAAATAACAATTTTAACTCTGTTTAAATAGTTTTGTGACTCACTACTATTTCTTTGATTTCTTCTTTTAAAAATTTACTCATATTTTTGTGAGAATTATTCCTTTTCCAGGAAGCATATCTAATTGGCATATGTTTTGGGTTCTTACTCATGTAAGACTATACATCTGTGCCTTGAAGATAAATGACAGCTTGGCTGAGCACAGATATTTTATGGCATAATATTTTCTCTCAAACACTAATTTCTGTAATTTAGTGTGTGGAAGAGGTTTTTGATGCCAAAATGAAGTTCTTCTTTTTCTGTCTGTTTTATCTCTCAATAGTTGCAGTATTTTTATTCAGTATCTGAATTTCATAAATTTCCTTCATGTATGGCCAGTGCCTCTTACCATTAACCCTGCATTTGTTTAGAAAGCCTTAAAGATTCAGACAATCTAGCCTTTTTTATTCTGGTCCGAGAAACTATCTTCCATTATGTGCTAATTAATGCTTCACTTTTTTCTGCTTTCTTTTGTTTTTCTTATATCTAGATTGTGTGTGAGTGAATATTGTATAATTTCCAGTTTTGTCCTGGATTAATTCTGGAGAATTTAATCTTATTTTCTAATGATCTCTTTGTTTTTTTCCTGGATTCAATCTCCTGATTATTGCTGCTTTTTAGATTCCTGTGTGTTTTATCCATAGGTAAATTTTCCTAATATCAGATCATTAAATCTTATAAATGCCTTTCATAGATTCTATGTTATAAACACATATGAGAGATTTCTAATATCCTATTTTGTAGCTTATTCCCATGTTTATTGGAATACTCTGATTTATAGAGGAATATTTTCTCTGATTTCTCACATTTGTCTTTTTATTTTCAATTGCTGTATCTTACCTTATATTTAATGATGTTTTGGCTTGCTCACCACAGAGAGAGTTTTAGGCTTATTCCTGAGGGGAGGTGAGAAGGGACTGGTGATGAGACTGTATGGAAAGTTTTTAAGTCTCCCAAGCTCAGACAAAGTGAGAAGGGGTGAATATTGATTTATCCTAGTTTAAACTTGCTGGATCATAGGTATAATAGCCTGGGCAGAATAGCATGGGGCCTATGACTAGAGACAGTTTTTGCAGGAAGATTTAATATAGTATCTTTTTTCCCTCTAAGTTATTGTGCCAACTGAAAATTAGTAAACATTCTTTAATTGCTCCCTCTAAGTTGAGGCAATGGCTTCTAGCATGTTTCCCCATTCCCGGGAAAAGTCAAGTGCAAGAACTCCCTTAAGGTCCCCACTCTGTGTGCACCTTAACACTTACATTTCCCAGAGCTGCTGTTACCTTTAATATTTATCCTCCCAAACCCTGCCCCAGGGTCCTCTAATCACCTATACACCCACTAACCTGTTAAGGATGTTTGCATGGTTCAACCAGCATTTTTCCTTTTATTTATTTGGCAAGCTGGTCCTTTTTATCCAGTGAATATCTTTCTCATGTACTACCTTCAGCAGAAGCATGGTGCCCTCCCCTAGTTTTAATACAGGTACACATTGCACCTTCTTTTTTTTAGATTCCTTGGTTACATGCCTATGTTGTTCACGCTACCATCTCTACCCAAAAGTCCCATTGCTTACTTTTTGAAGTACATACATCAGTACTCTGGTTTGCATATCTTAGACTGGGTGGAAGGTTGGCATTGCTGTTCTGCAACTCACATTCCAAAGATAGTGCTCCCAACTCACCCTTTATTACATGAATAATTAACTGTTGATCCAAACCGGGTATCTGTGCTTATATGCACTATGCCATTGAAGGGTTCTGGAGGTTTTCCACATGATTTTCCTACAGAAAAGAAGCAGAATTCGGGATGAGGTGTACAGTTCAATTTACATTTGTTTTTAAGATTCAGACTGGAGTGCAGCATACTGAACAGCCTGTATACTTCTGATTGCTCTACAGAATTGACCACTTTGAGAAAACTCACCATACAAGTAGCTATAGGGCACCTGCTTTTAAAACGACCAGTGAGCATCACCCAGTAAAGGTCATTTGTGGTTAAATAATCCCATCAAATCACCCAATAAAGGTCATTTGTGTTTTTCCATCCCATAAGCCTAAATCAAAAGCCTTAAATTTGGGATTTTCCTCCTATCTTAGTTAGCCAAGCACAATTCACTGTGACCCACATAATTTTCTTGTGTCCCTGTTTTATTCATTTCATGGTTTTAGCCACAAAGGGTAACCCCCAGTGAATGGAAAATTTTCCTCCAATTCCTCTTGTGAGAGCTATTCCTATGAAATGAATATCTAGTCAAGGTGTAGAAATGCAAGGCAATAAGAAGGGATGACTTACAAGTCCACCCTCCATTTAAATACCTTGGGCAAACTTAGATGTCTCATCTTCAAAATTTGAACAAATTAGATCTCACAGATTCTTTGATATACATAAATTGGCCCCCAGGAAGGGGTTACTCATATCTCTAAATATCTTGGCACTTGACGAGACCAAGTTTTCTAAGCAGGTGATAGAGAATATATTTTCAAAATACCCAAGGAAGCATTCATAATTCAAAGATGTCCCAACTGGAAACTCAGACTCATCAGTCAGGATTGTAGGCTTTGTAAATGGAAACTGTTAGGGGCTTTACAATACTTGAAGACCAAAACCACAGAAGTATCAAAGTGATCGGAGAGACTTCTACTCTATCTCCTCTTTCTCTCCAACTGAGCTGATAGATGGAATCACAGAAACAGAGACATAATAATGGCAAAAGAGTTTCTTCCCCTAAGGTAACCCCTGAAGTTACTTTAGGATGGTGCTTTACAATAGCATCTACCCATCAGGAAATTTTTACTGCTTGGAAGACTATTCACCTTTTTGGCCTTTCTGTTCAAAGCAAGAGTTTTAGCCAATAGTTTCATGTGCCAGGCCTCCTATCAGGATGCCTTTATCTAGAGTTAAGTTAACCATTACATCCTCATTTACTGGTGTTAACATACTCATGTATATTAAGACATATTTACTGTCTCTTTTCACTTATTCCTCCCTACCTCAGTCTCAGGATGCCTACCATAAGCTTCTTCTCTGGTACTAAATAGCAGTCACCACTTGTAGTGGGTGAATGATGTCCCCCCCAAAGATACAACCATCTAAAACATTAGAATGGGAACTCATTTGGAATAAGGGTCATTTCAGATACAATTAAGGTAATGATCTTGAGATGAAATTATCCTGGATTACCAGAGTGAACCCTAACTCCAGTGACTGCTGATGTCCTTTTATTTTTTTGCTTTTATTTTTTTTATTGGAGGATAATTGCTTTACAATGTTGTGTTAGCTTCTGATGTACAACAAAATGAATCAGCTATATGTATACATATATCCCCTTCCTCTTGCACCTCCCTCCCACCCCCCCATCCCACCCATCTAGAGCATCACAGAGTACCTCATCCCACCTCATCACAGAGCACCAAGATGAGCTCCCTGTGCTTTTAAGAGAGAGGAGGCGGAGATTTGTGACACAGAGTTATTGGAGAGAAGGCCATGTGAAGACAGAGGCAGGGATTTAAGTGATGTGTCCACAAGCCAAGTAATTCTAGGAGCCACCAGAAGCTTCAAGAAGAATCCTCCTTTTAGAGCCATAGGAGAGAGTACAGTCCTGCCAACACCTTGATTTCAGACTTCCAGCTCCTAGACCTGTGAGAGAACTAATTTCTGTTGTTTTAAGCTACCTAGTTCATGGTTTATGGCAGCCCTAGGATACTAATAGACTACTCTTCTCATTCTGATGCAGACATTCAAGGACAAGGACAAAACAGACTAAGCCATTCAGTAGCTTCCTCTAAGAAGCTAGGTCTTCTTTATGAGAGGGTATACTGTGTGCTGCATAATTTGAAATAGAGTCTGAACTCAACTATCACCTCTTTGGTGGAGATTGCTTCTATTTGCCCATTCAATAAGCCTGGCTAGGGACCTAGGCATCTGCATTTAAAGAAATCTCACTGGATTCTGATATATACCATCCAGTTGGAGGGTGAGGAAGATCAAGGAAAGGTTAAATGCCTCTTATCATGTGTAGCCTTTTCTCACTGGATTGCTCTTCTATCTCAGGGCTCCCCTGCCAATGATGCGGTATTCCAAGGTTGGTGCCACACCCCCACTCTATCCCAGCTTCCATTCTTCTCTTGCCCCATTCTCCTCACCACTCCACCAGCAAGTTGAATGATTAGCATCTTACCTAGTCAAACATCTTGGCACTGCTGGAAATATCTGTTTTAGCTATGGTGCGTAATTTCGATACTTCCACTTATGACAAAGTTAAACTCACAAGAAAACACCATATCTCATTATAGAAATATAAAGGATGTGGTCCAGGTGTTCTGAACCCATCTAGGGTATATAGGAGTGGGCACTGACCAGCAGGACCAGAAAGTTCACGGTGAGGGTCAGGGATGCTCCAAACCTCATTCCCTTGACTGTCACTTGTGCAGTGGATGGTGCTCTCCCTAAAGAGATTGAAAGTCATCCCTCTGTCTGGGTGGGGGTCACATGTGCAAGATATTTCTTTTCCACAGGAAATGCCTCCCAGAGAAGTTCCTGTGTGCCTCCCATTAAGGATAGCCAGCGGATTTGGACAAAAGATTTCTAAAAGAGCTAAAAGTTACATTAAAATGCTTAAATTTTCATCTGGGTCGATTCCACAATTGTGGGATTCTGTGACTGTGTTGCCAGTTGAACAACAATTAAACTCTTAGGGAGAGTACAAACTACAAAATAAATATATTAGGACACTGCTGAGATGCAGCTAAATGAAGTTACATCAAAATCAATTTTTATTATAAAAGTCTAAAAGGGACTTAAGCATCCTGAACTCTTCAGCGAGTTAAGCCTTCTGGATAATTGAGGCTTAAATAAACAAAAATCTTCTTAACCACATCCATTTAACAAGGAAATCATCCATTAATTCACCAAGGTTTTTTTTTTTGAGCACCTACTATACAGCAAGTACTATTTTAAGCACAAAATAGGTGAGATCTTTTAACATCAAGGATCTTCATCCTAGAGAATTTTTTCCAAATATATTCTAAATATTTACATTTACTATTTGTCTATCCATGATTTAATCTTTTCTTGATACCTTGAGGCTGTTATTCTCAAAAGCAAAATGAATGGTTACAGAAATGCTGCCACAGTGAAATGAAACATTCTCCATACTCCAGTGCGTGCTCCAAAGGCTCAGAAATGTTTTGACTTTTGAGATACTTATAGGTTTTACAGTTTGTTTTTATCATTGAAGAAACACACATTTCTTCTTTTGAGCATTATCTATTTAGAGATGCTCCTTTCCCCTTCTGATCTGATCTGTATTTAGGAAGAGGATACTGAAGCTTGAAAGAATTATGGATAAACTAACTATTCAAAGGGTGGAATAGTTTAACCAATGTTTACACTCTATTAAGTGATTTTAGGTATATCCTTGAGTTCATGGGAGTAATTTTCTTTTTCTTTCTTTCTTTCTCTCTCTCTCTCTCTCTCTCTCTCTCTCTCTCTCTCTCTCTTTCTTTCTTTCTTTCTTTCGTGTTTCTTAATTACATTAAGATTTTCAAATAGCTGACTTTCAAACATGAAAGATGTAACTATGGTTTCACTACATAAATCAGCAAAATATGTTCAAATAATATTAAAGCAAAGTATTAATTTGAAAAAATAAATATGTATCTTTCAGTCATTACAATCAGAAGATGAAGCAACATCCTAGTGATTTACTGAAGAAATAAATGTACAGATTAGATATATTAGTAGTGTTTCTCTATTTAACAGGTTACATTTCTGTCATTAAAAAAGAAAAAGCTCCCTAATCTCACTTCCCTTTGCAGCTGTAGACCCTCTTCTCTACCCCCTTTATATTAGAAGTCCTCTAAGATGTTGTCTATGGTCTGTCCTTCCTCCCCTTCATTCTCCCTTGAACTCATTCCAATCGGGCATTTGCCCCCACAACTCTACTGAACTGCTTTTATCTCCAAGTCGCTAAACCCAATGATAATTTTCTGTCCTCATATTATTTGACCTCTCTGAAGAATATAACGCAGTTTCTGAGTCTCATCTCCTTAAACAAAGTTCTCCACTTGTCTTCCAAGATACCTCATCCTCCTGATTTTTCTCTCAACGCACTGGCTGCTTCTTCTTAATCTTCTTTTCCGATTCCTTCTAATCTTTCCAACATCTTAATGTTGAATTTACAAGTCTCAGACCATGCATCTATTCTCTGGCCCCATTCACTCTCTGGGTGATCTCACTTAATCTCTATTTTAAACTCTATATCTAAACCATCAGCAAATCCTGTCATTTCTACCTTCAGAATATATCCAGAATTTGAATACTGCTTATCACCTCTCTCAGTGTTATCCTGGGCCAACATCTCTGGTTAGATTTTTGCAATAGCCTCCCAGCTTGTAACCTCAGCTCTACCCTCAGATTTTCTTGGCTACAGGTATCTTTTGGGCCTTCAGTTGTTTTCTCAATTGAGAGTGCTGATACCACTGCTACCTCATTTCCTGACAACACTGGCTGTCTCAGCTCTCCCAAGGGTGAGATGGGCTTCTGTACAGCCTCTGCTGTACCACTGCAGTGGAGGTCACAGTAGTTCTAAATTGAAGCCAACGTGACTGGATCCATGTCCACTCTGGCTCCTTCTATCACTTCCTGGCTTAGGTGGAGTACCAGGCAACAGGTCATGGGCTCTAGTGTCCCCAGAGTCTGATCAGGGAGAGAAATAATACAACATGAAATCCAAGGACTTAATAGCCTTGGAATAAACAGAAGATGAGAGACAGGAAACACCAAGCAGATAAGTTGCTTGCTCTTTCTCTTCTAATGGTCAGTTCTGGTTCCACAGAATCTCTCTGGAGATGTCCTATACAGCCAAACAACCAGCCGTCTTTCTTGTGAAGCTTATGGCCACTTCAATAACACAATCTCTTTTATTTATCTGCTTTTCTTTCCTCTCCACCTCCCTTTTTGTTTTCCTTCACTTTTGCTGCCCTGGGACTATACCTTCCAGTAGAGCATTATAACTCAAACTTTGTCTCTGGCACTGTTTTTTGGGGAATCTCAATCTAAGATACATCCTTTCAACTCAGCTCTCTCTAGAGTAGCCAGAGTGAAATCATTAAAAGTAAGTTAGATCATGTTACTTTTCTACTCATAATACTCCAATGGCTTTTCATCTTTCTTAGAGTGAAAACCTAAATTCTTACAGAGTATAGAGTTATTCTCTTTTATTTCTCCTGTATACTTCTGTATTTGCTCACTGAACATCAGCCATATTGGCTTCTGAGAAATGTCAGGAGCAGGCTTTTCAAAGAAAATGCCAGCAACACTTCTACCTTGGACCTTTGTAGTTTCTGCTCCATCTGCTTGGAAAGTTCTTCCTCTATCTTTGCACATTGGTAATCAACCAATTTTCATCAATGCTCAAATGTTATTTTTTCTTCCTTAATCATTTTATTTTAAATGGAAACAATTTTTTTCTGGAATTCCTTTTTCCCATTTACACAACTATTTTTTGCATTACCCTGTTTTTTTCTTAATAACACTTAATATTATTTGAAATTGTCTATTTATGTGTTTGCTTGTTTACTTGTTATATATATATTTCTTTTTTGCCTTTCTCCCTGCACAAGAATATAAACAACATTGGAGCAGGGACCTAGTCTGTCTTGTTTACAGGCATATTCCTAGTATCTAGAAGACTGGTTGGCACATAGTAGTTACTCAAAAAAAATCTGTTGAAAGAATGTGTATATGATGGATTGATGATTGAAGAAATGATAAAAAAAGCTGAAGTGTGACTATCATTTTTGAGAAGGAAAAAGGGAACATTTGACAAAGCTTCAGGCCATAAATTTCTCCCCATCTGTGAAGCATTTCTTCCCATTTATAGCACATAGTACATTTATAAATATTTATAGAATGACACACCCATGATGTTCAGGTTTATTTCCCCAAAAAACATTCTTTGTAACTATTTCAACAATAAATATTTGTATCAAAACCAAAATAAACAGAGGAACAGACATTAGAAAATTTCATGTGGTAAAATGCAATAAGAAAATGAAAAAAACAAGGAGAAAAATGCAGACCTGAACAGATATTCTTTCTACTTACGTTCACACACAGGAACACTGTTATTCCAAAGGCTTTTCGTTCCAACCAAGATACAGTAACTGGCTGAGCTTCCCTTTAACTGGAACCTAAGGAACAAAGCAGTAGTGACTGGATGAGCACACCATTTCTCTCTTCCATCCATTGACAGATCTCAGCTACTTCCCTTCTGCTAAAACACAATTTAATGCCTAAGTTAAATCCCAAATGAAAGAAAAAGCTCAGCCCATTTTGTTTCTCAGCGGACAGACACTCAGAAACCAAAACATTTAAAAAAATTGCTGCTTCCAATGAGGACAAAGCAATAACACCTGTCAAAAGCTCAGTAATCAGACTTGCCTGAACTAAAGAAGGTACAAAAAACATAGACAGGCATTTCCTTAGTCTGGTCCTGGACCTTCAGAAGACCATCTTACCCTGACTGCTCTCTGACAAGCCCCCTTTTGTCATTAGGAGAAACTTTGTCCTCTAATGCAAAGCATGGCATTTTCCTCTTTTAGTAGACCAGGAGGAAAACAACTCCTGATTTAAGCAAATCAGAGAACATGAGGAAAGATATCAGAGACTGTTCCTTTTGCCAATACATTTGGAATGTTCCTGAATGAGACTTCTGACATATCTGGATTACTGAAGAGTAAAGCCAAATTATCTAGGAAAAAAGAAGAAACGGTGAGGAGAGAGGATTCCTTGGAGAACAAACATCCTAAAACATCTGGTTTATTGTCAGACCAGTGGCTCCTGAATTGCCTCTGGGTCTTTATTGGGTGACTGGTAATTGACGCTTGTCAAGAGTCCTTGAAATATACTGAGAACAACTGCTCTATTGTCCATGCTTTTTACCTGCCAATGGTGTTGGAACATAATATCAAGATCATTTAGATTCACACAAAGAGTTAATGATGTTACTTGAAATATGAACAGCAGTCTTCATGCTCTTTCAACACAGCCTAATACTAATTAGATGATATGTAATTATTACAGATTAAAACTACTTCTGCTTACTCTTTTGTTCCTATTCCAAATGCCACTAATGATTGGTTTAAAAATTTCCTGACACAATCCTTGCATGTCATCTGTCTTATAAATAACTTTCTTTCGTGTATATTGAACTTAACCTCCGGAATATTTATCTCTTCATGCCTACAAATTACTATTTATCCATTTTATCCAAACACTTAATGTTCCACCTAAATATTCAAGTTCTGTTGTTATGTTTCTGCTGTTCAGTATATTTACCACTTTTCCTTTTTAAGCGTCTATTCATGGTCCATCTGGTTCTAACCATACTTCCCAATCACTGTTTGAGATATTAGTCTCTTTTAGTACTTTTTCTCCATTAGTCAGCCTCTTTTTAGGATAAAACCCATTGCCCAGGGCATCAGCATATCAGCATCTGGCAGTGTGGCCCTGGTCTCTTTTCCAGTTCACACTCACCCCTCATCACAAATGAAGGACACTTTTGCCCCAAGGTGGAAATTAAGTGGAAAGAGCACATGTCCATTAGGAAGTTGGTCCAGGAAGTCAGCACATGATTTCACTAAGAAAAAAAAAAAAAAAAAAAAAAAACAAGCGTAAGACTGCCATGTAAGGGACAAAGAGATTGATCTGCAAACCAGAAGAGAGTATAGGCACCTGCACATCTGGGAGCTTCCGGGCTCCAGTCTCCCTGGGGCATACAGTGCAGAGAAGCAGCCCCTCTGAGATCATAGCCAGGCTCACAGCTGTAGAACACTTCCTGCCCAGAGGAAAAGTTGTTCTTGTGGCTTGGGGTATGTTTACCATGCAGGACTTCTGGAGGTTGCTGACATACTGGGTAAAGAACAGTAAAGTACCTGTCAGTTATAGGGAAATACCTTTTGCTAAATTCTAACCCTTCCAAGGAGTTAGAGAATCATAATTAATGGGGTACAGGTAAAACAAAGGAAGTCAAATGATACTCCAATCCCCTTGTTTTACTAATGTGGAAGTTAAGGATAGGGAAGAGAGGTAGCCAAAAACCTCACAGCTAGTACGAGGTAGAGAATTAGGACCCAGACCTTCCCAGCACAAGTTCTAAAATACATTCATTAGTCCACCAGGCACACTGTCTCTTCTTCCACTGCTGGCTCTCTAGCACAGAGTCACTAGTACTGGTGGGCTACCCAACTCACATATTTGCTAGAAAGGCAATACAATTTACAGCCTCATCTTTCAGGTAATGAGAAGGTTACCTGAGCCTAAACCTGTAACAGATTTCCCCTTATCTCTTTTTTCACACTTCTGTGATCAAAGTGTAGTAATTACCCATACTGTATCTGTTTGTCCTCCCAGCTGCCCTCTCATTGGTTGTACAAGGCTGATATGGGTTGGTGGAAAAACTGTAAGCTCCCTCTCTGTACCTAGTATCAACCACAATATTTACCAATCCACTTCTACAGTCCTTCTTATGCCAGCTATTGTGGCATAAGAAGACAAGACCAGCCATTGAGAACAACATCCCCTAAATAAGCCAGTCCTTGTAATGACAGGACACATTTCTTAGAGAATATTCAACTCAAGGTGTGGCTGCCTCCATTCACAGTCCTTTTGGTATGTGCTAGGGGCATTAGAACTCATTTGAACTTCAACTTAACCTGTATCTAATTAAAGATGAATGAAAAATCTGTTTGGCTTTGAGCAAGTTACTTGCACTTTCAATTTCAGATTTCTAATGATAAAATATAGGAGGTGGACCAAAGCAAACTCTAAAGTCTTTGTCACTATTCTGAGGCTATGATATCTTTCTTCATAAGCCAGTTTCTTTCTGTGATAGATGCTGATAAAAGTAGAATTCTATAAAGCAAAGTTCTGTCAAGAACCAGAGCATTCAACTTTAGGGGCTGACACACTGCATTCTATTCCTGGATATGCCACTTAGTAGCACATAATTTAGACAACTTATTTAACCTCTGAAAGACCAAGCTAACTTCACTGTCATATGGATATAAGGATAGCACTATTTCAAAGGACTGTTGCAAAGAGTAGACAAGATTATTATACAGCTGACCAGAAAATCCACATCATTCTTGAATACAACTGAGAGATATTGGAGCTGGTACTTTGCCTTGAGAATTCCTCAATATGAGAGTCCCAAATGTCTCCTTCCTTGAATAATTAAACTCTTTGCTTCTCAAAATGAAGGCACTTACACACAAGTGCAAACACACATTTTCTTAATTTTGTGCTTCCTTGCCCCAAATTTACCCACACTGCTCACCACACATCCTCCCCCCAGAACCAACACTAACCTCCTGATCTTCCTACAACTCACGTCATTTGTAGGCCCCTTCAAAGCCTCAGTCAGACTCACCCCTGGAGCAGCTGGGCAACTCTGGCCCCCACTTGTTTTGGGCCTGGCATTCAACAGTGGAGGGTCCTTTCATGGCAAAGCCGGGCTGACACCTAAACCTCACGCTTTCACGTAAAGAAAATAAGCTTCTGTTCTCAGACATCCTTATTCCATTTTCAATGACTGGAGGCGTGCATTTATTAGGTGTAATGCACTGAGGGGGAGGGCCACTCCAGATGCCAACTTGATTGTCTTCACTGGTGCAATATATTGACGGCTCACCCACGAGGTCAAACAGCTTCTGCCTTCTCTCTCCAAGATTGCAGTGATAGGTCACCACTGTTCCGTATTGAAAGTATTCTCTGTCGGTGCTAATGAAATCTCCATTGGCGATGGCTGGGGGTGGCCCACAACGAATGCCTGGGAAAAGGGACAGCAAGTTAAAACCTCAGTTTCTTACAGTTATATTCAATTATGAATTTTGGTAGCCAGTTTAAAAAATGATCAAAATGTCACTATTCAGAACACTTCTGCTCTTGTCTAATATTTCCTAATGTACAGACATGTTTTTACACAATCGCAGATTAGATAGCCACAATATTATGACCTCTGCTCTTCTCAATTAATGCTATTTCAATAAATGTATCCATATATTATTATAGTCCACATACTTCTCATTCTAAGTGAGAATTTATATGTTATTTAACTATTTTTAATTCAATTCTTTCTCTGTAGAGGGCATTTGGATTTATTCTATTGGTTATTAATATGGCATAGCATACAATATAGTCTATCAAATAAATAAAAGCCAAAAGCTCTGGTACAACTAATAAAAAATAGACACAAATACACAATATTACACAGGACAAACATAATCACAGATTCAGAAGTAATAAAAATAACTGAATATGTATCTACTCTATGCTAATAATCTTGAAAATGAGGATGTTAGAAAAAAATATATATTTTGCCAATACTGATGCAAGAAAAGGTAGCATATAGAAGTGGAAAAAATATATCAAAAACACTACTGCTAAAAAGGTATGAAGCACAGATAATTTCATCGACAAATTTAATCTAATATTCAAGTAACAGATAATTCCTAGGCAGTTTAAATCATTCCTGAGCATATAAAATATTTCTATCATTTTTGGCATGAATATCAAAGTAGACATTTATTTATTTATTGTTTTTTGCTTAAGAAAATATTTAAGAAGATGCATATTTATTGTAGAAAATTTATAAAATATAAATAAAAATCACCTTTAAGCCCATTATCTAGAAGGAATCACTATTAAATATTTAATGTGCAATCTTTAATACACACACACACACACACACACACACACACACATTTTTTTTCTAAAATATCTTTGTTGCCTAAGTAATATTTTAGAGTACAAACATACTAACTGATTCCAGTTGAAAGTGTTCTCTCTCTTGTGAAATGCATTCCGGCATATTTTAAACTTTTGTATTAGAACACATTCCGTGTACCTTTATAAGATTATTATTTAGTAGATTATTTCCAGAACATTGTTTGGAAATATGCACAATATTTAGATTCTTTTGACTTTTTCACTATCATAAAATAATAATATAGGTAACATCTGTACATCAATCCCCGCAAAAACCCATGGTGATTTTTTTAAATCATGAACTGTAGAATTTATGGATTAAAGGCTTGCGTACAGTTAAGGGTTTTGATACATACTGTGTACTGGCCTGTTAGAAAATTCGTTACCACTTATCCTACTACCAGTTGAGTTGGAGAGTGTTGATTTCTTTTTTTTAACATCTTTATTGGAGTATAATTGCTTTACATTGTTGTGTAGTTGCTGCTGTATCACAAAGTGAATCAGCTATACGTATACATATATCCCCATATCCCCTCCCTCTTGCGTCTCCCTCCAACCCTCCCTATCCCACCCCTCTAGGTGGTCACAAAGCACTGAGCTAATTTTTTTACATTATCACCAAACCCAGGGTTATATCTTTATGTTCTTTGTTAATTTGCAATTGCTCCTTTCTCTATGTGCCCTGAAGTGTAGAAAGTTCATATTGCAAACAACTCATGGGAAAGATGGCATGTCACTGTCCAGACAAAGAATAAGAGAGCAGGGAGGGCCCAAGGCCTGAACAGATGACCTGGGATTAAGAGTTGACAGAGAGGAAGGAAGGCACTTTCACTAACGTTGTATTCATTTACTTCACTAAAGAGAACAATCTTCAAACTGGAAGGTGTTCAACCAACAAAAGAAGAATTTGAGTGCTCTTCTAAATGAGTTCCAAACTATTGTTTAAAATAAATTATACCATTGAGTGAGGGGAAGATGGCGGAGGAGTAAGACGCGGAGATCACCTTCCTCCCCACAGATACACCAGAAATACATCTACATGTGGAACAACTCCTACAGAACACCTACTGAATGCTGGCAGAAGACCTCAGACCTCCCAAAAGGCAAGAAACTCCCCACGTACCTGGGTAGGGCAAAAGAAAAAAAAACTAATTAAAAACAGAGACAAAAGAATAGGGCCGGCACCTGCACCAGTGGGAGGGAGCTGTGAAGGAGGAAAGGTCTCCACACACTAGGAAGCCCCTTCGCGGGCAGAGACTGCGGGCGGCGGAGCGGGGAGCTTCGGAGCCGCGGGGGAGAGCACAGCAACGGGGGTGCGGAGGGCAAAGCGGGGAGATTCCCGCACAGAGGATCGG